TGTACTTTTTCCATTCTCTATTGCACTTAGTTTTTGCTTCCTTACACAGTCGGGTAAACCAGGGGCTCGTTCTGGTCTTCCCATTGTTTCTGTTGCCCTTGGGAATAAACCGTTCCACTGCCTCCTTGCATTTTGTCGTTACATATTCCATCATTTCATTTACTGGCTTTCCTGCCAGTTCTCTGTCCCACAGAACCTCCTGCAGGAAGTTCCTCAAACCTATGTAGCCCCCTCTTTTATAGTCTGGCTTTTCCCATTCAACTCCTGTTACTCTCTCCACTTGCAACTCTACTATGTATTCAAAGCACAGAACCATGTGGTCACTAGCTCCTAGGGGACTCTCATATGTGATGTCCTCAATGTATGAACTGCCCAGGGTGAACACAAGGTCCAATCTTGCTGGTTGTCCTCCCCTCTCACTCTGGTAGTGTCCTTAACATGTTGGTGCATGTGGTTTTCCAGCTCTTCTTGCCACCTCAGCAAGTGTGTCCACCATTGCTCTGTTACTCTCTTCATATTCCTCTCTTGGCCTCCTGCAGTTCTGTGGTGAGTTATACATCACTGCAATGACCACCTTGTGCTCCCCAGACTGAAGTGTACCTACTATGTAGTCCCCTTCTCCTGTCTCGTCTATGCCTCCCATTTTCTCGAATTTTCATCGGTTTTTTACGAGCAGAGCAACCCCTCCTCCCCATCTGCCCCTTCTATCTTTCCTCATGATCTGATATCCTGGTGGGAAGATTGCATCTGTTACTGTCTCAGTGAGTTTTGTTTCTGTAACTGCTATGATGTCTGGGGACTTCTCATTGATTCTTTCTTGCCACTCCTCATATTTATTCGTTAATCCATCTGCATTTGTGTACCAAACCTTCAACTTCTGTTCTAATACTATAACTGTGGTCCTGGGGGAATACTGGGGTTGGGAGAGCAGGAGCCCTGGTGGGGACCTGTGGGGGGTTGCAGTGGAGGTAGAGGAAGAGCTCCCATAGGGGGTTGCTGTAGGGGTAGGGTTCGTGGTGCGGAGGGGTGGGAACAGAGGGATCGGTGTGCGATTGTTGGTTTAGATTGTTCAGTTGCCTTGGGGGTGTCGTGGTTGGAGTCCTTCTGCAGGTGTTTCTGGGGGGTGTACTTGCCCTTCCACCTGTGCCTGGGTTATTCTGCTCTTCTTTGTCATTTCCTCCCATTCCTCCTTTCGTTTTTGCACTCTCTCTTTCAGTATCACCCTTTCCTCCTGTGTTCTGTCTCAATCAGTGTGTGTGTGTGTGTGTGTGTGTGTGTGTGTGTGTGTGTTGGGGTGTGTGGTTTTGGTTGTGGGGGTGGTTTGTTTGGGGGTGCATTTTTGGTTGGGGCACGTTGCGTGCATGCGGGGTGCGTGCGTTGCGTGCGTGCGTGCATGCGTGCATGCGTGCGTGCGTGCATGCGACCATTTTGTCATGGGCGCTCCCCCCTCATCCTCCCTCGCTCTCACTCTTGTGTGCGTGTGTGCATGCGTGTGTTTGGTTTTTGTTTGTTTGATGGTAGGACTTTCCAAAAGGAAAGCAGGCAAAATGAGAGTGCTCAGGCACTGAAAGGGATCAAAAACAAATTGTTTGTTCTTTGATAAATGGTACAATGAATTAAAAGGTGTTTGATCATTAGTGAGATTTGACAAGGTTTACAAAGAGGTGGCAACTGTTTCTCCATCTCTCCATGTGAGAGCTGTGTGACTTCCCAGGCATTGTATGATCCCTACAAGTTAAGTACTTCCCAATGAAAATAATGATAAATAATAATAATAATAAAATAAACTAAGTGCTAAGCTGGAACCCAACTGTAATACGTGCAAATCTTGTGTGGTCAATACACAGCCAAATGAGAACCATTTCTTAATAATGATAAGAATCAGGCATCCTTTAGAAGAAAGTCAAAATTATGTTTAAAATGCTAGTAATTGTACAGTGTTGTGCAGCTATTCTTGAAACTGAATTTTTCAAAACATAATAACAAAAGAAAGTGCCAGTATTTCCAAAGTAATTGTGTTTTAACCACTCTACAAAGGCATATACATTAGTCTATTCATACCCAATGTATATTATAAATTTGTTTTGAAGTTTAGTAATAAGATCCAGTTTTAAGGTTTATGCATCACTTATGCTTGTCCCCTGGGATACTACTATGAGCTATTACTACTACATCTTTTGCTGTGACAGTTCTTTTATTTAGCCCATCAAAAATGAACTGCAATTTCCCACCTGACACTTGCCAATCAATCTTATACCATTACCAACTGGGATAAGTTAGAAATGCCAAGGCTGATTAATAATTAATAAATGAAGAAATACTAAAGTTTAAACTCAAGAGTGACAGTATGATCATCACAATCATAATCTCTAGAAAAAAGATATGCTTTCAACTAAAACTTGAAAGCATGAACAGATTCCTGACTTTTAACAGTCACTGGCAACATGCTGAACAATATAGGAGTTACATAAGAAAAGGATCTTTCTGTAATAATTTCTCCCTAAAGCATGAGGCTCAGTCTAGAATGGTCCATGGCAATTCACAAACATTTCCAAGCTCAATTCAAAAAGTACAAGCTTATCAACAAAATACTTGGACTCATTCAACTTATAGCTTTAAATTATGCAATAATCACGAACAAGCAATGCAAAACAACCACGGGAGTAGTTGAGTGACAGCTCCAGGCCTTCCATGTTGCAATCAATACAATCAGGAGCTTGCAATGTTGCAGAAAAAGGAGAAATTCCAAGCAAATACAGTATGTTCAGTATATTGCTTGAATGAGCAAAGACTTCCTCTGAATGTATTTGCTTGGAATTCCACTTTTTCTGCAACACTGCAAGCTCCTAATGTGTTGATTCCAACATGTAAAGCCTAGAGCTGCACAATATACTTCACATTAAAGTTTCTTTAAACAAGTAGTTAGGAAACCCCACAAACAATTACAAAAATCAATTTGAGAGGAAACAAACATAAGGATAAAGACCAAGTCACTCTGCATGTGAATCATCCCCCGTAAAGCTTTCGTAGTTCCCAGAGGAAACAAGATTTTGAAAAAGTATAATGAGAATGACAAGAGCCTGTCAGTCAAGCACAACTTTACAAGCTCAAAACTGTAGAAAAAAAAAATGAAGACAAGACAGTAAAGAATCAGTTCATTCAATGAATAAATTGGTGTGTAATTAATTTTTGAGAATTTCTAGATTTGCTGCCTAGTATTTGTTTTGAAGTAGCTGGTATCCCCAGTTAGTATAATGTTTTGTGATTACAGGTATAATGTTAATTTTTTATGAAGGAATTCAGGAAAACAGGCAGACCAGACTGGACTCGATTCCTGGAAATGGGAAGTACAGTGCCGGCACTCTGAAGGAGGGCTGTTAATGTTGCAGTTTTATAACTGCAGTGTAAGCATGCCTCTGGCAAGACAGTGATGGAGTGAATGATGACGAAAAGTTTTTCTTTATCGGGCCACCCTGCCTTGGTGGGAAATGGCCAATGTGTCAATAAAAATAATATAATGTTAATTTAAGTTCTGCCCTATCCAAAATGAGTTCCAAGAGAAGCCTTTAGGAAAACGCTATTCATTCTGAGAAAATTATATTTACGTCTTTTACTTTGATAATGCATTCCCATCATGAAGCAATGATTACCTCTACAATCATTTATAATTCCCCACAATCATTTATAATTCCCTTATTTCATCAGTACAAATACAAAAATGATGGTGGCAAAATGCTCACAAATTATAGTCTACTTAATAACTCACAGGGTGCAATTCCCACTCTTGAACAACATTACCCCCCCACCCTCCTACATTTATGATTTACAGCAACTCAAAACTAATAATGATACCACTTTATAAAATCTTTACTTCTTACCTCACCAGCATCACAATTGTTGAGTTTATCTGTAATTCACATATATACAGCATAAAACAAAGCTCTGATACAGAATAAGTCATGTAAATAAGTTTATGGTAAAATACTAATCAGTGTTACCCTGTGCTATATATTATTATAATCATAACCAAGTGCTAAACCCCTAAGGGTCATACAGAACTACAGGGCCTGTGCTATGTAAAATATTTCTATCAAAATTGATTATGTTATTTCACACACAATTCACTACTGTAATATTATCATTTCTTTCAATATTAAAAATTAGTTTATTACAATAATTAAAAGTAAATTAAGCAATAAGCTAACGGAAGATCCAATTTATGTACAACACTACAATATCTCTTAATCGACATTTGGCAACCAACATTCATTAAGTTTATCCTTCAGAAAATAAAAGTAAAACTGTGTATTTAAAGATACAATTAGAAAATCTGAAAGAAATCAAATTTAACAACTCGCCTTAGCATCTGCTATAGTCTTGATGTTACAAGCACACACTATATATATTTTTAACTGGGCTATCACTTTTTTGTGCTAGTGTTATCACTATTATTATTATTATTATTATTATTATTATTATTATTATTATTATTATTATTTATGTGAAGTGATAGACCCATGGGGTCATTCATCATAGGTTGCAGTAGTGGAGATTTGATCCTTAATCTGTCAACTGTGAGAGACAGACAGACTTGCAGTTCTCCTGTTACAACCCTTCCCATCATCAGGGAGAGAAGAGTTGAGTCAAGTGCTCTACATGATAATGGTGATAATGATTCCAAAATCTTAAGTAACAGAATGATAAAAAGCAGAAAATGCCAAGGATGAAATCATGCTTTAAATCATGATTTTACCCTTGTTTCTCAAAAACCAGGGATCATTACTACCAGCTGATATTTGGAAAATTTATGAACATGGTCAATAACCAGTGGTACGACTCACGAAATCATAATGACACGATTGCAAACAAACCATACCACGGGTGGGGTTTGAACCTGCGGTCAGAGAGTCTCAAAACTCCAGACCGTCACGTTAGCCACTGGGCCAACTAACTGGCCCAGTGGCTAACACAATGGTCTAGAGTTTTGAGACTCTCTGACCGCGGGTTCAAACCCCACCCGTGGTATGGTTTTTTTTTTTTTTTAACCAGTGGTACACTGAATGAAAAGGAAATGAAGGAAATTAAAGAGTTTCTATTAATATATGCAAGTGTGTAACTTAGCTATCTTGAGATATGCTTACAACTGTTATTTGCTCAAATGCAGTTACAATATTATAAATTATTTTTAACAAGCAAACTATAGATATGACTTATACAAGTCTAAGCAGATGACTAGAACATGTCTTCAACAAGAGACTAGCAGATTCTGTACTTTAAATGTGACTAGTTTTTATATTCTTTAATCTTTTCATAATAAAATTTAAATTCACAAAAAATATTTACAAGAATTAAATTTTCAGTAAACATTTTCAAAGTATCATTGATCAAAACTCAATAAGTTCCTTCCATACACACCTAAAAGAGCAGACTACTGACAACTCAAAAAAATAATTTTACATAAACAATGCAATTCAAAATATCATTTTGATCAAACACTTCAATACGAATTAACTCTAACTGTATCTAACGTAAATTTACACAGACCAACCTGTGTCTTGTCATGCCTTCAAATTTGTCACCTGCTGACATTTGATATCTCGGCTCAACTCTTTTGGTGTTCTACCACCCCAGACAGGTCTATGCAGTACATCATACATAAAAATGTCTCTTTCCTACAGCACATATAAACAAGGTATGCGAAATATCATTCTGCATCTATGCAAGCTTTGTTTGTTTGCATACACAATGCATACATGCTATGTAGACATGGCACTCATGTATGAATGCACGTGCACATGCCTATATATGGTTGCAGGGCTCAAGCTCTAGATTCTTGCTCCTTTTCACAACTTGCCACAAGCCAGATTTACTCCCTCCTAGCTTCATGGACCATGTCATTCCTGTTCTGACGTGTATGTAAAAGAGTTGTGGCTGTAACAGAATTGTGTATGAGTCGAACAAACTCTCAAGTAAAGTTACTGAAGCTAAAATGTTGTGTAGTTTTAAAAATAGGTTAGACAAATACACAAGTGAATGTGGGTGGGTGCAAGTTGAACCTAACTGGCTTGGGCCAGTAGGTGACTTGGAGCTGTCTAGCACAAGCCAGTAAGCCTGCTGCAGTGCTCCTTCTTTTTATGTATGTGTGTACTCACCTATGTGGTTGTAGGTGTTAAGTCTTTGCTCCAGGCCCCACCTCTCAACCTGTTGCTTGCCAGATTCACTCCCTCCTAGACTCATGGACTTTATTGTACCTGCTCTAAAGCTATGTATGGGTTCTCTCTCCACCACTCCTTCACCAAGATCATTCCACTTTCTGACCACCTTGAGACTGAAGAAATACTTCATAACATTCCTATGCCTCATTTGTGTCTCAGACTTCCAGCTGTGTCTCCATTCTATTATAATCAAATAAAGCACTAAACTGACAAGGGTTATGTCTCCATTCTAGTTTCTAGCCTCTCAATAGTCTGTCCCTGTCTATCCTAACAAATTCTCCGAGTATTTTGTATGTTGTTATATCTCCCTTGGCTCTTGTATCCTCCAATGTCATGTTACTCAGTTCCATTAGCCTCTTCTTAGAGTTCATACTCCTTAATTCAGGGAAAAGCCTTCTTGCATATTTCTGAATTTTCTCCAGTTTTTTAACATGCTTCCTCAGGTATGAGTTCCACATTGGTGCTGTATAATATATATATACTTACCGGACTCGAGTCCTGGAAATGGGAAGTACAATGCCTGCACTTTAAAGGAGGGGGTTTGGGATATTGGCAGTTTGGAGGGACATCTAAATTGTCATATCTGAGCACCTCTGCAAAGACACTGATTATGTATGAGTGATGGTGAAAGTGTTGAATGATGAAAGTTTTTTCTTCCTTTTTGGGTTTTTCTTTCTTTTGTGGTCACCCTGCCTTGGTGGGAAAAACACATACACAGTGTGACTCAACCCTTGCAACCACAAATAGTTGTATGTGTACACACACACACACACACACACACACACACACACACACAACACACACACACACACACACACACACACCACACAAACAAACAAACCAGCCAGCACAGTTTCAGGAATGGGACATACTGTGTCACAAGCCTACTGGAGTTCTATGACAGGGGTGACAGCAGTAAGACAAGAGAAAGGGGTAGGTAGACTGCATTTTCTTGGACTGTAAGAAAGTGTTTGACATAGTTCCACACAAGAGATTAGTGCAAAAGCTGGAGGACCAGGCAGGGATAACAGGGAAGGCACTGCAATGGATCAAGGAATACCTGTCAGGAAGACAACAGCAAGTCATAGTACGTGGCGAGGTGTCAGAGTGGACGCCTGTGACGAGCAGGGTTCCACAGGGGTCAGTCCTAGGACCAGTGCTGTTTCTGGTATTTGGGAACAACATGACAGAAGAAACAGACTCAGAAGTGTCCCTGTTTGTAGATGATGTGAAGATGACAAGATGAATTCAATTGGACGAGGACCACGCAGAACTACAAAGGGATCTGGACAGGCTGCAGGCCTGGTCCCGAAACTGGCTCCTGGAATTCAACCCCACCAAGTGCAAAGTCATGAATATTGGGGAAAGGAAAAGAAGACTGCAGACAGAGTACAGTCTAGAGAGCCAGAGACTACAAACCTCACTCAAGGAAATGGATCTTGGGGTGAGTATAACACTGGGCACATCTCCTGAGGCACACATCAACCAAATAACTGCTGCAGCACACAAGAGCCTAGCAAACCTAAGAACAGCATTCCGACATCTCAATAAGGAATTGTTCAGCACCAGTTTGGAACCCGCACATAGCCAAGCACATAAGGAAATTAGAGAAAGTGCAAAGGTTTGCAACAAGACTAGTCCCGGAGCTAAGGGGCATGCCTCATGAGGAGAGGTCAAGGGAAATCAACCTGATGACACTGGAGGACAGGAGAGATAGGGGAGATATGATAACATATAAAATACTAAGGAGAATTGACAAGGTGGTCAGAGACAGAATTTTCCAGAGATGAATCACAGGGATGTTAGGAAGTATTTCTTCAGTCACAGTTATCAGGAAGTGGAATAGTCTGGGAAGTGATGTAGTGGAGGCAGGATCCATACATACCTTTAAGAAGAATTATGATAAAGCTCATGGAGCAGGAAGAATGACCAAGTAGCAGCCAGTGAAGAGGCAGGACAAGGAGCTATGAATCAACCCCTGCAACCACAACTAGGTGAGTACACACACATGTCCATACACACACATGTACACACACATGTACACACACACACATGTACACACACACACACACACACACACACACACACACATACATACACACTTGCACGCATGCACACATACACAAACATGCACACACACACACATGCACAAACACACACAAGCACATGCACACACACACAAGTATGCACGTGTACACAAACACATACACACACACACACATACACATGCGCACATACTCAGGAGCTGTGAATTGACCCCTACAACCACATATAAGTAAGTACACACACACATGAGCACACACAAACTGTGGACAATCAGTAACTAATGTAACAGGCTAAGTAATAACATCATGTCAGAGAAAAAGTTATCTAATATATAACCTTCCTGTGTTATTTATACCCAGTGTGTAATAAGCATTTCCTTGTATATTGAATAGTTATTAAAATAAAAAAAAAGTATTGTTATCAGCTGAAAATTAGATATTGGTATCAGCAAAAGTTTTGATATCGTCTAAGGAAATGAATGAACAGAGTAGCCAGATGGCCATTTTATTAGGTACACCCTTCTGGTTAATGGTAGGGCCCCTCCCCCTCCCTTTACCCCCAGAACAGCCTGAATTCTTTGAAACATGGATTCAACAAGGTGCTGGAAATACTCCCTAAGTGATTCTTGTCCATGTTAACATGAAAGCATCATGCAGTTACTGCATATTTGTTGGTTGCACATTCTTGCTGCAAATCTCCCATTCCACCACATTCCAAAGATTTATGTCAAATTCTGACCCTACCATCTGCATGTCACAGCAGAAATTTCATTTCATCTTACCAAGCAATGTTTTTACAATCTTCAACTGTCCAGGTTTGGTAAGCCTGTGCCCGCTGCAGCCTGGTTCCTGTTCTTGGTTAACAGGAATGGAACCTGGTTTGGTGTTCTGCTGCCATAGCCCATCCATTTCAAGATTTGACATGTTGTACATTCAGAGATGCTCTTCTGCATACCACTTTGCTATATGTGGTAATTTAAGTTACTGTCACCTTCCTATCATCCTGAACCAGTCTGGCCATTCTCTTCCAAATAACAAGATGTTTTTGTCCACAGAACTGCTGCTCACTGGATGTTTTATGTTTTTCACACTGTTCTCTGTAAACTCTAGAGACTGTTGTGCATGAAAATTCCAGATCAAAAGTTTCTGAGATACTCACACTACCCCATCTGGCACCAACAATTATTCCATAATTAGTCATTTAGATCACGTTTCTTCACCATTCTGATGTTCAGTCTGAATACCAATGCCCCCTTGACCGTGTCTGCATGCTTTTAGTCACTGAGGTGCTGCCATGTGATTGACTGATCACATATTTGCATTAGTGAGCAGGTGTACAGGGGTACCTAGTAAAGTGGCCACTGAGTATATATATTCATATATGCATACATACATTTATATATATAGAGACAAGAATTAAATTGTGGTTGTGTGGTGGAGGAGCTGAACAAACTTACATTAGTATTAACAATAAAAATATTCATAATTTTTCAGTTTATGAAACCAATACCTTGTCATTCAGATTAGAAATTTTAACACAAATCGTTTTATGCAAAACATCAGCATTTTCCATGTGTATGCTACTTAGGCTACTTGAGCATTAATACCTACATATTATATAATTACATATATAGGTGCACATCATGACAAACATCTACATTTATCAAGGACACAAAGACAATGACTCAACACACTGCACAATGTAAAATCAAGATACTGTACAGTCATCCCCACTTACTGACTTTTTGCCTAACAACTTCATTTAGCAACAAGTGATTTTAAAGAACCAATTTCTTTAGTGACAACACTTCCTCCTTGAGCAACAAATGTCAAAGGAGCTTGGTCCAGGTCACTTGCAAGATGTGTGTAAGGAGGGAGATAGAGCAAACTCTCTTCCATCTTTGTTATTGTTTGGGAACACACCTGTTCAAGGTCCAGGTTTGTGCTCTACTTCAACATTACTATTACACTTTTACATCAAACATGAGCTCCAATAAGGCAAAGGCTAAGAGGAAGACCAGTATTGCCTACACTAAAGTGGATATTTTTCAAAAGACATACTGACGACAAGCCAGTTACTATCACTACAGTTCTTGGTACCTTACATTCTACAGTGGATACCATCTGAACTAGCTAAATTTGATCAAGCAAAAATTAATACTAGGATTGTGAATCCTGTCATTACTGTTTAACTTTCACTCATGGTAATGTAATGGAGATTATAGAAGGGCTTGTCAGTGTGTGAATCTTTGATGAAAACTAACAGCATACTGATTATTCTGGAGAAAATAAAAATTGCATACGAGGATTTGAGAAAACAAAGGTGAGTACTCCAACATGGATAGTTTTGTGGCTAGCAAAGAATGGTTTGAAATATTTAAGAGGCACTGCAAGATGCATAACACTAGTGACTGGTGAAGTTGTCTGGGTTGATACTGAGGGAGCTGCCACATTTCAAGAAGCTTAGAAGAAAAACACAAGTAGGTATCTACACACTGCAGTAAATGGTCAATACTGAAGAAACTGAGCCAGACTGGTAGTGGATGCCATCAAAATCCTTTATATCTGTTTACAAACAATGCTCTAGGATTTTAGGTAACCAAGGATCAATTAATTTTCCTGGAAAGCAATGCAGAGAGAATTTTAAGCTTAATTAAACCCATGCTAATATACCTCTCTGAAATGCCAAGACTAAGAAGGAGTTTTGTAACCTCATCTCCCTGCAATTTGACACTCATTGTGAAAGTATATAACTAAAAACATTACTGGTAAGAATACATTACTCCCAAATAATGCCCAATGCCATATTGGATCACTGAGTAACTCTTCTGAATTTGTCAGTAATGTGTTTCTTCAAGAATACATTCTTCATCCACTAATGGATAAGGGTGTTCTTAAATAATCCAACTTATAGATGCATTATTTAGGAACAATTTTCTCCAAGATTATCAAGGACAATGAAGGCGAGATACTTCTGGATAAACTAACATAGTGGATGCCATTAAAAGCATCCATAAAACTTGGGATGAATTCTTGGCAGCCACAACAAACAGTGCAGAAAAAATCTATGGCCTAGATATGTCAACAATTTTCATGGATTACAAGAGACAGTTCCAGACACACATTGGAGTAATGAGCCTTGAAAAGGACGCTGGATCTGAACAAAGAAGCCACCGACCCCTTAGCAAGACTCACTTTGGAATGCCCATAGCCCAGCACCTAGCCTCATGTCCACATTATTATATCATAGCCCCACTCTTCTATCCAACAAATCAAGCCACATCCCTCTAACTTCAATACCACCAGCTCCACAAGCTATTTAAAACACTGCATTTTTCTAGTAATTTCTCAAAAATTTAGCAGATAATAAAACAGATGTGATGACATTGAAAATTTTAAGGAACCTCTTTTTCCAACGAGGAGTTGTAACACCTTAACAGCAAGCTGAGTTGAATGACATGGGAGGTAGATGAAAGCAACTTTTGAGCATTTTATAATTCTTATTCCTAGTGCTGAGATACTTGATACTGCTATGTCTACTCTTTGGGGGTCGTGGGAGGTAAAAACCGGTAAATTGGGTTAATGGTATTTCAGATTCTGACAGACTGTTAAAGTGTGTCCCCATTTGCACTGCCATCTAGCAGGCCGCTGCAAAATGCCACATTTCTTCGGGTCTGTGGTTGTTAGTATTAACCTTATCGATTCCTCATCTCTCATGCAATCTGAAGTGAGATTCTGCGAACCAGAAATGACAGGAGCTTCTCCATCTACATAAGATCAGACTACCAGTCTACTAAGGATAAAGAGCATCATATCTTCATTACATATGAAGAAGACATCCTGAATTAAGAAAAATTTCCTGTCTCACGATCACACTTGAACTAAAGATGGCAATTTTTATTTTAATTTAATACTTTTTAATTTTTCATTATTATTTTTCCTCTTCAAGACATACTACCCATGGCAAGATCTTCCCCTCTCTCCTCTTCCTGGTAACACCCAACTCCATATTGCCTCTACTCAAATACTCAAGAGAACAAGCCATCATTAATACACATTACTTATACCATTTATGCTCTACTATATATACATACACACACACACACAATGTTATTGAATCTGTGGTACTGTATGTCCCTGAAATTTATGTAAGTAAATTAGATTTTATGGGCCATTTCCAATTGTATAATTAGAACCCATAGGAAATTGGATTTTACTCATTAAGTGAGGAGTAACTGAATATTCATACCACTAAAATTGTGGAGTTTTAGCCCTGCCCAAAATACTATTCATACCTGAAGCCTGTCAAATATAACTTCTCTGCAGCACCCTATGTAAACCCCATCTCAAATTTACAACCATCATGTACTTGCAACCCCAGATTATTGGATAGGTTTGCATATTTTATTAATTTTATTTAATAATGGCTATTTCAGATTTTTCAAATTTTATGCTTTATTTATTACTGTATACATAACTAAGTATATAAAATGTATGTACATACTGTACAATACTTCCAAAATAAATAAGTCAAAATATTTGTAGGAACTCTTCTTTATACAACTTTTAGCATGCCACCCAAAAAAAAATCAATAATGCTATAAAATTAAAAATTATAAATAAAAATTGTAACAAATTACTTTAATTACTAGAGCAAAAACAGATCAATAATTCCCTGTTGGCAACTGTTTAAAGCTGACAGACATGGATAGCACCAATAACAATAGCCAAAAAAAAAAAAAAATAATAATAATAATGATAATATTCCTTTAATTAGACCTAGTTTCATAGTTAAAAGTAACAGATCAAATTCCAATGAAGCATTAGTTAACAACATTATCAGCTGCTCCCAGGCTTTCACTGTTCCAAGATTTCTCAAACTCTATTTTCATTCAACAAGACAATTCTAGAATCCCTCTTCATACATCAAAGCTTCCTCAAAACCACCTTCATCCAACAAAACAGATCCTAGAATTCATCTTCAATCAACAAAACAATCATCAGCATTCAGCTACATACCTCATATGCATTCTTAATTAAATTACTTTCATTACTGTGTACACAAATATTCCTACCTTCTTAGCCAAATTGTTGAACATCTATTCAATAAATTTAAATAATACAATATATAATTTCAGCACATCTCTACTGATATTGTTAGCAGACAAAAGTTAAACCATTAAGATTACAGTGTACTGCTTATAAAGCACAACAGAAACTGAAGAGTATGCATTCTGTCAATCAAAATGTGTGAGAATCAAAGCAAAAGCTTGACCTAAACTGAAGTGCCATCAATATATTGCTAAATATTGAGCTACATAATTAAGCATTTACGAAAATAATGGTACTATTTACTGTTCAGAGAGCATTTTATTCTTATAAATAGGATTTTATAAACTCCAAGTACATTACAATTATACAATTTCAAACACATGAATAACAGCTTTATCTTACTGTTACAACCTTAGCAGAATATGGATCTTTACTTATGTCATTATGTTACCTTCAAAATTATGAGGACACAGTATGGAATGTAAAATTACCTTTCACAATTTACCTTTATGGACATGTCAGTGGCAGAACTTGTGGCTGCCACAGTGATGTGTACAGGATTCTTCTTGAAAACCGCTCAGCAGATCTGAAACCTCATCACCAGAGTCATGCTATTGGAGAATGCAATAACTCTTATCTACAAGATGATTGGCTTCAGAGAGTGTCTGCCAGCAGAAATTATAGATACTTGTGTTGAAAGCTCCTTGCATGATTTAGCAGCAGGCTCAACACTTTGATAACCACATAAAGCTGTTAGATATAGTAGGATTTCCTTCAGGAGTCAGCTGCAAGCAAGATCTGCGTATGCCACAGTGTTGCAGATTCCTCGTGGGATCAGTTCAGCAAACTTGACACTTCCCAAATTTTCATCACACGGTCTTGACCTGTACAAGAAATGTTTGTAAATGTCAAGTACATAAATGTTGAAACTTCAAACACAAAAGCTTAAAACTGCCTAAATTCCACAAATGAACTTAACTTCAACAGATGAATTTTACTTTCTGGCAAAGCTTCTCATGCTTATTTAGCCATTTACTAAAATATTTGTAAGTTTCTAAGAGGTTTATAGGATGAAAAAAAAATGATCTAAAACCATACATGGCTCATCATTATTGCTGTAAAACTTGTCATATAACTTGTCCCTTCATCCAAAGTCCCTTCATCTGGTAGCTTAGGCTGGTAGGTGACTTGGACCTGCGTAGAATGGGATGGGCCACTGGGCCTGCTGCAGTGCTCATTCCTTATGTTCTTAAGCTACCTTGCTCCACCTTTATTTAATATTTAGCAATTTCTTCTTTCATTCTCTCAACTGCCATTATATTCTAAACTTCATTAACCTGGAAAGGGTTAATGAAGTTTAGAATATAATGGCAGAGGCCAAATTTCAAAGTGCACACCAGGGTCCAAGAATTTTCAAAAAAAAGTTTTGTTATTTTTTCTTATGAAATGGTAGAGAATCTTTTTCTGAAGGTAATAAAAACAAAAAGTACGAATTTTGATGGAAAATTGACGATATGCTCTCACGAATTTTGATGTGTCAGCGATATTTACGAATCGGCGATTTTGCCGACTTTGACTCCCATTTTAGGCCAATTACATTATTCCAGTCAACCAAATTCTTAGCTATTTCACTAGTATTACTTCTATTCTATCGATTGAGCACAAGAAATCGCCAAGTCAACTCTTTCAACTACAAAATAAAGTGATCGGAAATTGGTAATTTGGCCAATTTAACACAAAGTTCAAAATATTCCTATTTCAAAATAGGGTCCAGAATAAACAATGTAGGTATTCCTGGAACTAAACTAACATTTCCTCTGTTCATTAGTTATGTTTTGAGGCTTTACAAACTAATTCCATTTTGATTTTTTGATTTTTTGCCTTTGTATAAAGGCAAAGGGGATAAAAGAGAGTGCAAAAATTATAGGGGGATAAGTCTGTTGAGTATACCTGGTAAAGTGTATGGTAGAGTTATTGTTGAAAGAATTAAGAGTAAGACGGAGAATAGGATAGCAGATGAACAAGGAGGCTTTAGGAAAGGTAGGAGGTGTGTGGACCAGGTGTTTACAGTGAAACATATAAGTGAACAGTATTTAGATAAGGCTAAAGAGGTCTTTGTGGCATTTATGGATTTGGAAAAGGCGTATGACAGGGTGGATAGGGGGGCAATGTGGCAGATGTTGCAGGTGTATGGTGTAGGAGGTAGGTTACTGAAAGCAGTGAAGAGTTTTCACGAGGATAGTGAGGCTCAAGTTAGAGTATGTAGGAAAGAGGGAAATTATTTCCCAGTAAAAGTAGGCCTTAGACAAGGATGTGTGATGTCACCGTGGTTGTTTAATATATTTATAGATGGGGTTGTAAGAGAAGTAAATGCGAGGGTCTTGGCAAGAGACGTGGAGTTAAAAGATAAAGAATCACACACAAAGTGGGAGTTGTCACAGCTGCTCTTTGCTGATGACACTGTGCTCTTGGGAGATTCTGAAGAGAAGTTGCAGAGATTGGTGGATGAATTTGGTAGGGTGTGCAAAAGAAGAAAATTAAAGGTGAATACAGGAAAGAGTAAGGTTATGAGGATAACAAAAAGATTAGGTGATGAAAGATTGGATATCAGATTGGAGGGAGAGAGTATGGAGGAGGTGAATGTATTCAGATATTTGGGAGTGGACGTGTCAGCGGATGGGTCTATGAAAGATGAGGTGAATCATAGAATTGATGAGGGGAAAAGGGTGAGTGGTGCACTTAGGAGTCTGTGGAGACAAAGAACTTTGTCCTTGGAGGCAAAGAGGGGAATGTATGAGAGTATAGTTTTACCAACGCTCTTATATGGGTGTGAAGCATGGGTGATGAATGTTGCAGCGAGGAGAAGGCTGGAGGCAGTGGAGATGTCATGTCTGAGGGCAATGTGTGGTGTGAAAATAATGCAGAGAATTCGTAGTTTGGAAGTTAGGAGGAGGTGCGGGATTACCAAAACTGTTGTCCAGAGGGCTGAGGAAGGGTTGTTGAGGTGGTTCGGACATGTAGAGAGAATGGAGCGAAACAGAATGACTTCAAGAGTGTATCAGTCTGTAGTGGAAGGAAGGCGGGGTAGGGGTTGGCCTAGGAAAGGTTCGAGGGAGGGGGTAAAGGAGGTTTTGTGTACGAGGGGCTTGGACTTCCAGCAGGCATGCGTGAGCGTGTTTGATAGGAGTGAATGGAGACAAATGGTTTTTAATACTTGACGTGCTGTTGGAGTGTGAGCAAAGCAACATTTATGAAGGGGTTCAGGGAAACCAGCAGGCCGGACTTGAGTCCTGGAGATGGGAAGTACAGTGCCTGCACTCTGAAGGAGGGATGTTAATGTTGCAGTTTAAAAACTGTAGTCTAAAGCACCCTTCTGGCAAGACAGTGATGGAGTGAATGATGGTGAGTTTTTCTTTTTCAAGCCACCCTGCCTTGGTGGGAATCGGCCAGTGTGATAATAAAAAAAAAATAAAAAAATAATGAATTTTTAATCAAACCAAAAAATAGAAGATTTACTGTTATGAAATATTGTAATAATTGTATAAATATCATCATCACATTTGTGAATGTGTATTAGACCCACCAGCTGGCATGTATTAGACGTGTGAGGTCCTTTGTTTACTCTTGAACATCGGCAAAAATTTAACCTTTCCGCTACTTTGAGCTCAGTTTTCAAGCCATTTCCAGTGCTAAAACCAATCAAAATCATCTCTATTTCTGTAATATGTCTTCCATTCTATCAAATGAGACCAAGAAATCGCAAATACAACTATAAAAAGCATATGAAAAAAACACTGCAGAGTCACTGTTTTAATCGAAAATCACGGTCTCGTTTTTTTTTCTCTCATTATACACTGTGTGCTGCAGGATTTGTTTTATGTGGTGCACACATACCACATAGATATATTCTCTCATATCTAGGCCCAAATTTACCACTCACAGCTTATCAGAGTGAGCTGAGCTCATGGTATAGATCTACTGTTTGGACCCTGAATGTAAAGCCGTAGATCTATCGCACGGACCCTGAAAGGGTTAACAACTATATTCTTCATACGTGAGCCATGTATGTCATAAGAGGCAACTAAATTGCTGGAAGGAAGGAAGGGACTAGTAACCCCCAATACATGTATTGTGGGACTAGTAACCCCACAATACGAACAATTACATTGTGTACAAGTTGTCTTCATGTTAGTGCAATAGAATAAATAAATAGCTACGAGTAAAGGCATATAAAAGGATTAATTTTCTACAGTTCCTCCCCCAGTATAACTATTGTGTACACATTTTCTCTGGCGTTGGATTAGAGAAAATGTACTTCTTGCCCTCACTCCGACAAGCCGCCTGGCTACCACATCACATATTTGTCAAATTTATTCTACCGTGGTTGTATGTATCATGTTTATACGTCATGTAGCACATTTCTTACATAATTTTGAAGAAATATCATAAGTGGATTAATTAAAATGTCCATATTAACATAATATACGGCATTTAAAGCAACCCATAGTGATTATTATTATTATTAATAATAATAATATGGCATCTTTTAGACTAGTGAGACATTCTTAGTGATTTTAATATGTACCTGCATGCCAGCACAGTGTATAAGTTTATTTAGGTACAGGTACACATAAGTATAATTATCAGAGTATATATAAAATATATAGGTAGTAGGTTGGTAGACAGCAACCGCTCAGGGAGGTACTACCGTCCTGCCAAGTGAGTGTAAAACGAAAGCCTGTAATTGTTTTACATGATGGTAGGATTGCTGGTGTCCTTTTTTCTGTCTCATGAACATGCAAGATTTCAGGTATGTCTTGCTACTTCTACTTACACTTAGGTCACACTACACATACATGTACAAGCACATATATACACACCCCTCTAGGTTTTCTTCTATTTTCTTTCTAGTTCTTATTCTTGTTTATTTCCTCTTATCTCCATGGGGAAGTGGAACAGAATTCTTCCTCCGTAAGCCATGCGTGTTGTAAGAGGCGACTAAAATGCCGGGAGCAAGGGGCTAGTAACCTCTTCTCCTGTATATATTACTAAATGTAAAAGGAGAAACTTTCGCTTTTCCTTTTGGGTCACCCCGCCTCTGTGGGATACGGCCGGTGTGTTGAAAGAAAAGAAGAAAGAATATATAAAATATGCAATAACTTTAAAATGCTTGAAATTTGGGAAAGTTTCCAGACATAATGGAGAGATGCATCACGCGTCTCTCCATAACGAATTTTGGTCATAATTTAAAATGTCCAAAATAGCGAAATCCCGTAAGGTAAAATGCCATAAAGCAGGTCCCTACTGTATATATAGTGATTACACACATTATGGTGACAAAATATTATGCTTCTTAACACAGTATGTCATTACCAGCAACCACGTAGGGAGGTACTACCACCCTGCCAAATGCATGTGAAATGGAAACCTATAATTGTTTTACAAAATGGCAGAACTGCTGGTGTCTTTTCTGTCTCATAAACATGCAAGAAAACAGGCATGTCTTGCTACTTCTACTTACACGTAGGCCCACTACATATACTTATACACATATATGTATACACACTGATGTGAATTTTCTTATATTTCCTAAATAGTTCTTGTTCTTATCTATTTCCTTTGATCTCCATGGGGAAGTGGAAAAGAATTTTTCCTCGGTAAGCCACGCATATTGTAAGAGGCAACTAAAATGCCAGGACCAATGGGCTAGTAACCCCTTCTCCTGTATAAATTACTAAATTTATAGAGAAAAACTTTCATTTTTCTTTTTACACCACCCTACCTCAGTGGGATATGGCCTGTTCATTGAAACAAAAAAGAAAAACTTTATAAAGCTGGAATGTTTGAATGTGCATGGATGTACTGCAGATGATAAGAAAGAGACAATTACCAATGTTATGAATGAAAAGAGGTTGGATGTCCTAGCTCTAACAAGGAGAGGAGTGTAGAGGAGAGAGAGACTTTGGGAGATGTTAAAGAGTGTGTAGGAAGATTTGAACAAAGTGAGAGAGTAATTGTGGTAGGGAGCCAGAATGCTGAAGTGGGAGAAATGGTTATAGAGGGTGTGGTAGGTAAGTTTGGGGTGGGGTGCCGGGTGTTAATGACAATGAGGGGGACCTTTGATTGAACTTTGTATCGAAAGAGGTTTGGTAATAGGTAATATATATTTTAAGAAAAAAAAAAAGGATAAATAAGTACTTTGTAATGGTAGATAAAAGACTGATGGGTAGACTTCAAAATGTTCATGTTATTAATTAATAGAGGGGCCACAGATATATTAAATAATTTTTTAGCTGTAGCTAGAGTAAAAAGTAGATGGGCTACAAGGAGAGTGGCATCAGCAAGTGAGAAAGAGAGGTGAAGGTTTATAAACTAGAGGAAGAAAGAAGATGGGCTAATGAGTGTACAGGCAATGAGGCAGAAGAGGTATGGGATAGATTTAAGAATGTAGTGTTAGAGTGTTCAGCACAAGTGTGTGGTTACATGAAAGTGGATGAGAAAGGGAAGAAGAGCAATTGGTGGAATAATGAGGTAGAGAGAGTAGGAAGAAAAAATGTTAGCAAATGAGAGGTTTTTACAAAGTAGAAGTGATAAGAGGAGGGAGGAGTATATGGAGAGAAAAAGAGAGGTTAAGAAAATGGTGAAGGAATGTAAAAGGAGAGCAAATGACAGAGTGGGTGAGCTGCTATCAACAAATTTTGCCGAGAATAAGAAAAAGTTTTGGCATGAGATTAATAAGTTCAGAAAGCCTAGGGATGAATGGACTTGACAGTTAAAAATAGGAGAATTTTTAGATGGAGAACTGGAGGTATCAGGAAGATGGAGAGAATATTTTGAGAACTGTTAAATGATGAAGATAAGGAAGCAGTGATTTTGTGCATTGGGCAGGGAGGTATAACATCTTGTAGGAGTGAGGAAGAGCCAGTTGTGAGTGTGGGGGAGGTGTGTGAGGCAGTGAGTAGAATGAAAGGGGGCAAAGAGGCTGGGATTGATGGGATAAAGACAGAAATGTTAAAAGCAGGTGGGAATCAAGTTTTGGAATGGTTGGTGTTTGTATTTAATAAACATATGGAAGAAGGGTAAGGTACCTAGGGATTAGCAGAAAGCATGCATAGTTCCTTTGTATAAAGGCAAAGGGGACAAAAGTGTGTTAAAATTACAGTGGACCCTCGACCAACGATGGCATCGTATAACGTTAAATCCAACTAGCGATACATTTTAACGCAAAATTTTTGCCTTGATTAGCGCTAAAAAACTCAACCAATGCCATTCATTCCGTTCGAGACGCATCCACGTGTGGCCTGCTCAGTGTTTACAAGCCAGCCACCACGGTCGCATCCAAACATACAATCGAAACATTTCATATTTTCACAGCGTTTTTAGTGATTGCACCTGCAAAATAAATCACCATGGGCCCCAAGAAAGCTTTTAGTGCCATCCCTGTGATAAAAAGGGTGAGAATTAATATGGAAATTAAGAAAGATTTTGAAGGGTTTGGGGCTAACCCTGAGATGCCTATGCCAGTTGTGAAATCCACTGTGCTTACTTCAAAGATTAAGGAAATGTGTGCAAAGTGGGTTGAACTGCAAACCTTTATGGATGAAAATCACCCTAACACAGCTATCGCAAGCCGTGCTGGTGACTATTACAATGACAATGTTGTGGCCCATTTTAGACAAATCATAAAGGAACAGGAGATACAGAGCTCTATGGACAGATATGTTGTGCGACAGAGGTCCAGTGACTCTCAAGCTGGTCCTAGTGGCATTAAAAGAAGAAGGGAAGTAACCCTGGAAAAGGACTTGACACCTCAAGTCCTAATGGAAGGGGATTTCCCTTCTAAACACTAACACCATCCACACTCTCCCCTCCTCCCATCCCATCAGCCATCACCAGATCTTCAATAAAGGTAAGTGTCATGTAATTGTACATGTCTTCTTCAATTTGTGTGTATTAAAATTAATATTTCGTGTGGTAAAAATTTTTTTTTTCAATACTTTGGGGTGTCAGGAATGGATTAATTTGATTTCCATTATTTCTTATGGGGAAAATTAACTCGACTAACGATAATTTCGACTAACGATGAGCTCTCAGGAACGGATTAATAGCGTTGGTCGAGGGTCCACTGTATGGGGGAATAAGCCTCCTGAATTCTCCATGAGGAAGTGGAACAGAATTCTTCCTTCGTAAGCCATGCATGTCGTAAGAGGCAACTAAAATGCTGGGAGCAAGGGGCTAGTAACCCCTTCTCCTGTATATACGTGTATTACTAAATTTAAAAGGCGAAACTTTCATTTTTCCTTTTGGGCCACCCCACCTCGGTGGGACATGGCTGGTACATTGAAAGAAAGAAAGAAAAAGAAAGAAAGAAAGAAAGAAGCCTACTGAGTATACCTGGTAAAGAGTATGGTAGTTGGAGTGTGAGCAGGGTAATATTTAGTGAAGGGATTCAGGGAAACCGGTTATTTTCATATAGTCGGACTTGAGTCCTGGAAATGGGAAGTACAATGCCTGCACTTTAAAGGAGGGGTTTGGGATATTGGCAGTTTGGAGGGATATGTTGTGTATCTTTATACGTATATGCTTCTGGACTGTTGTATTCTGAGCACCTCTGCAAAAACAGTGATAATGTGCGAGTGTGGTGAAAGTGTTGAATGATGATGAAAGTATTTTCTTTTTGGGGATTTTCTTTCTTTTTTTTTTGGGTCACCCTGCCTCGGTGGGAAACGGACGACTTGTTGAAAAAAAAAAAAAAATGAAGAGCAGAATCGGAGATGAACAAAGGGGCTTTAAGAAGGGTATAGGGCGTGACGACCAAGTGTTTACAGTGAAGCATATAGGTAAACAGTATTTAAATAAGAGTAAAGAGGTTTTCTAGGTAGTAGGTTGGTAGACAGCAACCGCCCAGGGAGGTACTACCGTCCTGCCAAGCGAGTGTAAAATGAAAGCCTGTAATTGTTTTACATGATGGCAGGATTGCTGGTGTCCTTTTTTTCTGTCTCATAAACATGCAAGAATTCAGGTATGTCTACTTACACTTAGGTCATACTACACATACATGTACAAGCATATATATACACATACCCCTCTGGGCTTTCTTCTATTTTCTTTCTAGTTCATGTTCTTGTTTATTTCCTCTTATCTCCATGGGGAAGTGGAACAGAATTCTTCCTCTGTAAGCCATGCGTGTTGTAAGAGGCGACTAAAATGCCGGGAGTAAGGGACTAGTAACCCCTTCTCCTGTATAAATTACCAAATTTAAAAAGAGAAACTTTCGTTTTTCTTTTTGGGCCACCCTGCCTTGGTGGGATACGGCCGGTTTGTTGGAAAAAAAAAAAAAAAAAAAAAAAAAAAAAAAAAAAGAGGTTTTTGTTGCATTTATGGATCTGAAGAAGGCATATGATAGGGTGGAAAGGGAAGCAATGTGGCAGATGTTGCAGATGTATGGAATAGGTGGTAGGTTACTGAAAGCATTTAAGAGTTTTAATGAGAATAATGATACTATATGGCTGGTACTTAGCAAGTGTAAGGAAACATGCTCAAAGTTTCCACCCATGCCTGGGATCAAACCACACACACTCAGTATGTGAGCCGAGTGTGCTGCCACTGTCGTGACCCACAAAATTATGTGCTGACAGTGTTGCGATTTAAAAAAAAATTCTTCTGAAATAGTAAAGAATTTTTTCTGAAGGTAATGACACCAAAAATGCAAAATCTGATTGAAAACATGGAATTATGCAGGCACAAAGTTTGTGGTCTGGGCACAATTTACTCATTGGCAATTTTAGCCAAACTGACTCCTATTTAAGTCAATTCCATTGTTCAATTCAACCACATTCCTAGGTATTTTGCTAGTATGCCTTCCATTATACTGACTGAGTGCAAGAAACTGTTCATGCAACTATCACAATTTTACACAAAATTCAACAAATTCCAATTTAAAACAAACCCAAAATAAACACTGTAGGAACTCCAGCCAATAAACCAACCCATCCTCTGTTTATTAATCATATCCCCAGGCCTTGCTTATATAAACACTTGCCCTCCATTTTAAATTAATCATTATATAAAAAAAAATCAAAGTTTTACCCTATTTATATTTGGATTAATACAATATAATCAAGAATAATTGGTCATGGTTTACGTATGCCACAGCATATGGAGGTAATGCAACAGCCAAGGAGAGATCAAGTCCCCTTTTAGTTTTTCACTCACAGCATCTTCTAGATTCCATTTCCAAGCTGAACAAGTTGTGAATTGTTGCAGCAACAGTTTTGCGACACTTCTTTGAAGATGATGTGTGTTAAGGACAAACATACCTACAGTAAGAAGAATACCAGCCTCCTCATCAAGGTCCATGCTGACTATGCTGTGTTTTACCTCATGGAACTTAGCAAGAGACGAGCGACTGAAACGAACACACGAGAAAGAAAAATTTAATATTTGTCTGTTGTTATGAATTAAGGAATTCCTAAGGCAGTTTTATATATTCTACCATAATTATATTATACATACAAAAGAACATTAAATTTCCTTACTTTTCTCCATTAATGCTATCCAGTACATGAAAAGAAACACACAATATCAACTTTCATTGCAAAGAAAATATCAAAGACATGAGTGACATTATTTGCTTAAGTGAAAATTTAATACATGTTTACACTGTACGCATAGTCAAACAAATGCACAAACTTGATTTCACACGAGAAACTTACTCTTGATCAGATATGGTAGAATGACAAGTATCACAAACTCTAACATCAAATTCAAAGCCCATAATTGGGATGCACGACCTCTTGCTGCTGCAGCTGTCACACACTGCTTTCCCACATTTTCTGGAAATTTATTTAAATGAGCACATTCTGCATGCATAAAAAGCAAAGCACATCATTAAAACCTTGTGTGGTGCAAAATATTTCTCTATAAACTGTATATCACAAAAAATCCAGAACCATAACCCCTTTGATATACCTTTGAAGAGTTTCGAGAGTTTAACTACTCTTGAGCCCGACCATGGGCCAGGCTCGTCCAGTGCTTGCCTGATCAACCAGGCTGTTGCTGCTGGAGACCCACTGCCCCACATATCCATCACAGCCTGGTTGATCTGGCACCTGGTGAAGATACTTATCCAGTTTCTTCTTGAAAGCTTCTACACTTGTTCCAGGCATGTTTCTGATATCTTCTGGTAAGATGTTGAATAGTCTGGGACCCAGGATGTTGATACAGTGTTCCCTTATTGTCCCCTACTAACATGTCCAAAATTTATATGGAAAACTCTGGCATGGTATATCTCCTTCTAAGTTAATGTGGGACTTAAAAGTAGAGTACACAATCCCCCCACCTGCAGTGATGTTGACGGAGACCAATTTGCTTCTGGTCCATCATGGCTCGAATGTTCCAAAAGAATGGACGTTCACAGTATTGGCAAGAATCTGCTTGTAACCATTCTGGGGTCTGAGAAACCAAAAAACAGAGTACTATAATTTCTGTATTTGCAAAAGCCTTCATATCTTATGCCTGCATAATGCCCACATTATTCAGGCATAAGATATGAAGGGACAAGTTAGCCAGACTACTGAACAAGTGATGGAGGATACAGCTCTTTTATCACTACCTTGCTGAGAAGAAGAAAGAAATTATGTAGCAATTCTAAATACTTTATTGTGCATATCATAAGTGCTGCTGGTCTGTTAAAAACTGACACAGAGTTGTCAATATCCTTAAAAGTAGCATAATACAATGCAAGTGTGTAGACACTGCACAATTAGCAAAGTTACCAAGAAAATGTGTGTAAATAGGTACCTAGGAGATAGATGGCTCTTATCAATCACATCCTAAAAAAGACACCTAATGTAAATAAACCTTACTACTAGGCTCTGTTGGATTAACCAACATTAAGGATGTCTCCTGTTTCCACGTTTGATTGCAGCCAATTGATCTACTACCTAGATACGGTACTAAATAAAATGAAAAAGATTATGATTTTCATATTATGTTTCATGCAATATGATACACAATATGCATTATGAAAACATTTGCTTTAGTGCCCAAGAATAGAGCCAGCTGGATGATAAGAACTACACATATCTTTTTCTATGGCAAAAGCCACCTCACCTCCTGTCTGCTTGCTTTCATGTCCCAAAACACAATGGTAGCATCTTCCCCACCAGAGATCAGTTGGTGACTTCTCGAACCATACACAAGTGCAGAAACTTTGCTTCTGAAACAAACGATAAGCATGTTTATGCACTATGAAACTGAGAAATTATTTGTATAAAAAGCTAAAACTGAAGATTAATTAATTAATGAGCAAATAACGTGCCCCTGAAAAACTTAACAAAATATCTAAACAAATGGTTTACTACTGTGTGCAAAAAATATTAAAACTAGGCACAGTCAAACACCCCAAATTTGCAGTCTTCCTAACATTCAAGTTTCAATTATCCAAAATGAAGAGCTTTGATTATTTAAGGTGGATTTCACTGTGCCATTGTTTTAGCTTTGACACATGACCCATACACTGAAAACTAACCATTAACCAATGGCTTTCCTATACCCGAATCTCTCTCTGTCTATTCTTTTTATGTATATTAACTATATTACTGCAATATTTAAAAGATATTTCAAAGATATCTCCTATGAAATGAAAAATAAAACTCAAAGCTGAAACAAAATTTATTATGCTATGCACAGACATACATTTGTATTGTTTGCAGATTCAGTACTTTCCAACTGATTCTTGTAAGTCAAAGCTATCAGCTATCAGTTTGTTCTAATCTTAATTTTAGCCACTAATACTTCTATGTATTTCTGTATAACCAAGTGTATTTTTGACCCCCCCCCCCTTCAAAAAAAATCAAATAATAATGATCAGAAAAATTAAATTTCCCATTCAAAATACAGTGGACCCTCGACCAGCGATGGCATCGATTAACGCATAAATCTGACTAGCGATACATTTATGCAAAAAGCATTCAAAAACATAGCAACACTATTGTTAAGTGAAATTTGATACACTTTAGCACTGTTCCAAGTCAAACCAAAGCCAACTGTTTCCACCAATCGGAAACTTACTTTTATCAAGCCTTTTAGTGATATCAACTGCAAATAAGTTCAGAAGACAGGAAGCGTTGGTGGAATGATGTTAGAGGCTAGTACAGGAGTTTCCCAAAATGTTGAATTTATTTTAAATGCACAATTCTGCATGCATAAAGCGAAGAATATAAACTGGTGAAAAAGAGAAAGTTAAGAGATGTAAATGTAAAAAGAGAGCAAACCATAATGGCCTGTTATAACAAAGTTTGAGAAATTAAAAAAGTTTTGAGCCGAGTGGGCCAGGTCGTCAAGCATGCCTGAAAACCAGGATTTGTCTTAAGAATGACAGCACATATCCATCAAATGGAGTCTGGCTATTGAGATGGAAGAATATTTACATTTTTTAAAGTTTAATGTTAGGGAAGTTTTGATTTCTGTAGGAGGGAATAATCTTGGCCAGGATGTTTAGTACAGGTCCCTTATTGTCCCTATAACATGTCCAAAATTAGGTAAAATGGATGGGTATACGCGTCTATGATGGGGATAAAGATAGAGTTAAAACCCAGCTGGTTTGTTTGACGGGCATTTGCTTTTTAATATATGAGGCGTCGAATGTTCAAAGGAGTGCCAGTATTGGCCATATTGCAATGAAAGGGGATTAAAGGGTCTGAGAAATCAGAAAACAAGTACTTAATTTCCTGTTTGCAAAAGCCTTATATCTTATGCTGCATAATGCCCAATTATTCAGGCGAAAGTATGAGGACAGTTAAGCAGGACTTGGAAAGAGGTGTGGAGGATACAGCTCTTTTATCACTACCTGCTGAGAAAAAAGAAATATTGACAATTCTAAATACTTTATTGTGCATACATAAGTGCTTCTGGTCGTTAAAACTGACACAGAGTTGTCAATACTTAAAAGTGCATTAAACAATGCAAGTGATGAAGCTGACATTAGCAAGTTACCAAGAAAATGTGTGCAAATAGGTCCCTAGGAGATAGATGGCTCTTATCAATCACATCCTAAAAAAGACCCCAAATGTAAATAAACCTTACTACTAGGCTCTGTTGGATTAACCAACATTAAGGATGTCTCCTGTTCCACGTTTGATTGCAGCCAATTGATTACTACCTAGATACGGTACTAAATAAAATGAAAAAGATTATGATTTTCATATTATGTTTCATGCAATATGATATACAATACGCATTATGAAAACATTTGCTTTAGTGCCCAAGAATAGAGCCAGCTGGATGATAAGAACTACACTATCTTTTTCTATGGCAAAGCCACCTCACCTCCTGTCTGCTTGCTTTCATGTCCCAAAACACAATGGTAGCATCTTCCCCACCAGAGATCAGTTGGTGACTTCTCGAACCATACACAAGTGCAGAAACTTTGCTTCTGAAACAAACGATAAGCATGTTTATGCACTATGAAACTGAGAAATTATTTGTATAAAAAGCTAAAACTGAAGATTAATTAATTAATGAGCAAATAACGTGCCCCTGAAAAACTTAACAAAATATCTAAACAAATGGTTTACTACTGTGTGCAAAAAATATTAAAACTAGGCACAGTCAAACACCCCAAATTTGCAGTCTTCCTAACATTCAAGTTTCAATTATCCAAAATGAAGAGCTTTGATTATTTAAGGTGGATTTCACTGTGCCATTGTTTTTAGCTTGACACATGACCCATACACTGAAAACTAACCATTAACCAATGGCTTTCCTATACCCGAATCTCTCTCTGTCTATTCTTTTTATGTATATTAACTATATTACTGCAATATTTAAAAGATATTTCAAAGATATCTCCTATGAAATGAAAAAAAAAATCAAAGCTGAAACAAAATTTATTATGCTATGCACAGACATACATTTGTATTGTTTGCAGATTCAGTACTTTCCAACTGATTCTTGTAAGTCAAAGCTATCAGCTATCAGTTTGTTCTAATCTTAATTTTAGCCACTAATACTTCTATGTATTTCTGTATAACCAAGTGTATTTTTGACCCCCCCCCTTCAAAAAAAATCAAATAATAATGATCAGAAAAATTAAATTTCCCATTCAAAATACAGTGGACCCTCGACCAGCGATGGCATCGATTAACGATAAATCTGACTAGCGATACATTTTATCGCAAAAATTTTGCCTCGATTAGCGCTAAAAAACTCGACCAACACTATTCGTTCCGTCTGAGACGCGTCCACTTCTGGCCAGTGTTTACAAGCCAGCCAGCCACCGCGGTCGCTTCCAAGCATACAATCGGAACATTTCATATTATCACAGCCTTTTTAGTGATTGCACCTGCAAAATAAGTCACCATGGGCCCCAAGAAAGCTTCTAGTGCCAACCCTACAGCAAAAAGGGTGAGAATTACTATGGATATGAAGAAAGAGATCATTGCTAAGTATGAAAGTGGAGTGCGTGTCTCCGAGCTGGCCAGGCTGTACACAAAACCCAATCAACCATCGCTACTATTGTGGCCAAGAAAACGGCAATTAAGGAAGCTGTTCTTGCCAAAGGTGCAACTATGTTTTCGAAACTGAGATCGCAAGTGATAGAAGATGTTGAGAGACTATTATTGGTATGGATAAACGAAAAACAGATAGCAGGAGATAGCATCTCTCAAGCGATTCATATGTGAAAAGGCTAGGGAAATTGCATGACGATTTAATTAGAAAAATGCCAGCAATTAGTGGTGATGTGAGTGAATTTAAGGCCAGCAAAGGTTGGTTTGAGAGATTTAAGAATCGTAGTGGCATACATAGTGTGATAAGCATGGTGAGGCTGCCAGTTTGGACCAAAAAACAGCTGAAAAATATGTGCAGGAATTCAAGGAGTACATAGACAGTGAAGGACTGAAACCTGAACAAGTGTTTAATGGTGACACTGACAATGCTGTGAAACACTTTAGGAATGTCATAAAGGAACGGGAGGTACAGGCCTCTATGGGCAGATATGTTGTGCGACAGAGGTCCAGTGACTCTCAAGCTGGACCTAGTGGCATTAAAAGAAGAAGGGAAGTAACCCCGAAAAAGGACTTGCCACCTCAAGTCCTAATGGAAGGGGATTCCCCTTCTAAACACTAAGACCATCAACACACTCCCCTCTTCCCATCCCATCAATCATCACCAGATCTTCAATAAAGGTAAGTGTCATGTAACTGTGCATGTCTTCTTCAGTTTGTGTGTATTAAAATTTTTTTTTTCAATACTTTTGGGTGTCTTGCACGGATTAATTTGATTTCCATTATTTCTTATGGGGAAAATTAACTTGACTAACGATTATTTTGACTAACGATGAGCTCTCAGGAACGGATTAATAGCGTTAGTCGAGGATCCACTGTACAGTGGACCCCCAACTTACGATATTAATTCGTTCCAGAAGGCTGTTCGGGTGCCGTTACCGAACGAATTTGCTCCCATAAGGAATACTGTAAATTAGATTAGTCCGTTTCAGACCCCCAAAAATACACTTACAGAAGCACTTACAAAAATACACTTACATAATTGTTCGAGTTGGGAGCTGTTCATAAGTCGGGGGTCCACTGTATATTCATATGCCATTAGAATGATGCATGTTTGCTCTGACTTCTCAGAATGAGACTGATGTAATAGGTTAAATGCAATAATGAAACAAATGCTGCACATGCTTACGTATGCCCTTGAAGCTCAAATGCTGTTCCTTTGCCACCACCAATGTCCCACACTATGACAGATTGATCAAAAGATCCGGAAAACAAAAGCTGGCGGTCTATGTCCCAGGCAAGAGATCTTATTGATCCATTATGACCCTAGAAAAAAAAAAGAATTAGAGCTTGTACAATGCAAGTCTACAAGACAATTGTACTTTTCTAAAAGTATGAATTTTGTTTCTGGTTGTTACGTTTGACATGAACCAACTCGGGCCACAGATTCTCTCTTCTATATTCATTACCGTCTTCCTGTCAGCATCTTCTTTCACTGTCTTCTTCCCTGTTTCTGCCAGTGCCTTTGATTGCAGATTATATGCTATGGCTCAGTTTTGGCTGAGCATTTGACACGAGTGGACGAGTGTTTGAGTTTTAGGCTTGTTCATTTTGCAACCCTACTTATTTGATCTGACAGTGAGCTCAGATAAACACCATAAGAAACATGATGATCACAGCCACACTAGTATTGAAACTCTGATTATTGAGCTACAACCAAAAATATAATTAGTGAAAACAGTGATGCCACAGGTGCCAGCAACTCTGTGTAGAGAATACCATGTGAATGGACTATTATATGACTGTTTTAGTCAACTTTAATAAACACCTACCTGTGTTACTGTGCATGAGTACTCAAGCTGTAAACTCTCTGAGATGGTATTTCAACTCTGGTATTTCTCTCTTGGGCCCATATACTATTCTCAATAACTTCACCAACCTAAGGAACAGAGGCTAATCTCACAGCCAGGAGGATGAGGAGGTCTATACTACAGAGTTGTTTCATTAACAGAAAGTAAAGGTCTGCCTGTGTTTAGTGCACAAACTAAATGACCAGTTTGCATATAAACACTTCAAAGCCAACCTTAACTTAAAGAACATCTTGAGGCTGAACCATTGTATGCTGGTAAATATGGAAAATATCTTGAACAGTGCTATAGTGGCCTGTAGTCAGCCCTATGTGGGCTGGGTAATCTGTCTTGGTCTGTATGTACAGTAGACCATCAATTAACACGGTAGTGTCATTTCTGAAAATGGTGTTAGACCAAACCGTGATAAACAAACTGAAGAACTCATGGGAAAAATAGGGTTATGTTCCTGGGATCCCAAATAATGCCAAACAACTTTTCTTTTTCAGGTCTCCAAATCTTACAAAAATAAAAATGTTAATGTAACTGTTATTTGGTGTCGTGATGTATTATGTTCTTTCTATTGCTTAATGTTACAAATGCTACAGAAATATTTCTTACCTTAAACTGAGGTTGCTGGTGTTCATGAAAAGAGTGGAGAGGGATTTTGTGGCCCTACCGGGCTGAGGTGGATGGCTGTTGGTTGTCGGCTGAGGTGGATGGCTATTGCCTGTCGGCCAAGGTGGATGGCTGTTGGCTGTCGGCCAAGGTGGATGGCTGTTGGCTGTCAGCAAAGGTGGATGGCTAATGGTTGTCGGCTGAGGTGAATGGTTGAGGTTCTGGTACTAAAGTCAATGGTTGTACTGGAGTGTGGATAAATTCTGTAATGCATCTCTGGTCTCTTTTACCCTGCAGTACTTTATACAGGCGACAGTAAGGCATTATCAGCTGCTCTAGACCCTGCTTCAGAGCAGTGCTTCTAGATTTGTCAGGGTCCTCTTCTGCAAAAAGTCTTCTAGTTTAGCAGCAACATGCAACTGCTCACATAACTGTTGTAATGTTAACTGTTTTTCTTCAGGCTCTTCATCTTCTATTATCTGCCTCCCTTCTATCTGTGCATTGAGCTCTGCTGACATTTCCTCTGGACCTCTGTCTTCATCATGATTTTCTAAGAGCTCATTTACATCATCTTCCTACATATCTTCAAAGCCATCACCTGGTAATCTCCTTGCCAGCTGAACTATTTCCTGCACCTGGCTCTCAAGCAAGGAAAAACCAGTGAAAGAATTAACTACAGAATGACATAACTTTCTTCAGCCTGCATTTAATATTGATTGGGCACTTCATTCCATGCACTTCTAGCATAGCTGATGGCATCAGCAATGTTAAATTTACTCCAAAAGTTTGGAACTTCCAGGTTGAAGTCAGAATCCACTGATGCAACTAGTTTTTTCATCACTGTTCTTGTGTAGTTACACTTGAATGACTTAACTCCACGGTCCAGTGGTCGTATCAAAAATGTTGTATTTAGAGGTAAAAATACAACTTTTACATGTGGGTTCACAACCAACAAAGCTTCTGGACGAGTATGGGAATCATCAAGAGTGAAAAGAACCTTGAATGCAAGGTTCTTGCTGTAGAGGTAAAACTTGACTTCAGGAATAGAGAAATGCTTAAACCAGTCAATAAATATAATAATAATAATAATAATAATAATAATAATAATAATAATAATAATAATAATAATAATAATAATAATAATAAAAATAATAATAATAATAATAATAATAATAATAATAATAATAATAATAATATAAATATATCTTTATTTACTACAAGTACATGTACAAGGTATACAGGCCTAGCTGACATCAATGACATACTACTATACAGATAGCCGCTTGTTCTGTAGAGCATTTCAGGCAAATTAGGTCAGCTTTATCCCAGGATGCGACCCACACCAGCCGACTAACACCCAGGTACCCATTTTACTGATGGGTGAAACATGTCCAATGTTTCCACTCCTTCGCCGGGAATCGAACCCGGACCCTCACCATGTGAAGCGAGAACTTTTGCCACCAGGCTGATTGGTTTGACCTCCAACTTACTGGTAAGGCATTGTTATCTACACTTTTCAAAGCACAAGATGCATTACCGCAAAGGAGCAAGGTGAAATGATCCTTTGCTGCCTTGAAGCCCAGTGGACTTTTCTCTTTGTAAGTAAGACACAGAGGCAACATTTAGGCATCTTTATTCCGAAGCGTTTCGCCTACACAGTAGGCTTCTTCAGTCGAGTACAGAAAATAGGCAGGAGCAGTAGATATGTGAATACAATGTAATCAGTCCATCACCCTTGAAGATGTAGATGGAATGATTACATTGTCTTCACATCTCTACTGCTCCTGCCTACTTTTTGTACTCGACTGAAGAAGCCTACTGTGTAGGCAAAACATTTCGGAATAAAGATGCCTAAATGTTGCCTATGTGTCTTACTTACCAACTTGTCTGTATTGTATACCATTTTGATATGCACTTTCTCTTGCTGACTAATAAGTTCTTGTTGTCATTTTCTTTCAAAACACTTGTCTCATCAGCATTAAACACTTTCTATAGCTTATAGCCACCCTCAGAAATAATTTCCTGCAATTTGGTAGGGAAATTACTTGCTTCTGTAAGATCAGCTGAAATACTTTCACCAGAAAACTTAATAATATGTAACCTATTATGTAACTTAAATTTGTGGAACCAGCCAGTGCTAAACACACTAATGTTCAGGCATTCCTTCCTCATCACACACACTGTTTTATACAACTGTAAGGCTTTTTCCATAATTAAGATGAAATTAAGTGGTGTACCTTTTTTTTTTTTTTTTGTTCAAGCCACTCAATCAACAAATTTCCTGTTTTATTTACCTGTTGTGATCTGTGTGTCATTCTTTTCAAGAGGTGACAACCTAGCTATTTATTGCACAAGCTCATATATTTGCCTCATCCTTTTTAATTGTATGAACCAACACTTTATTAAGGCCAGTAGCTCTTGCCATGTCCACCATAAGTGCACCACTTTAAACCCTTTGAGGGTCCAGATCCCCATTCTGAAGTGTCCACAGGGTTCAAGAATTTAAAAAAAAAGTTTGTTATTTTTCTTACGAAATGTTAAGAGAAACTTTTTCTGAAGATAATAAAACAAAGTACTATTAAATTTGATGGAAAACTGACGAAATTACACTACTGCAAATTTTGCAGAGTCAGTGATATTTGCGCATCGGTGATTTTGCCCACTTTGAGTCCTATTTTACATCAATTATATTGTTCCAGTTGACCAAGTTATTAATCTCACTAGTATGCCTTTCATTTTATTGATAGGGCACTCGAAACCGCCCAATCAACTATTTTAACTACCCAATAAAGTGATCAGAAATTAGTAATTTGGCCAATTTCACACAAATTTCAAAATAGGGTCCAGAATAAACATTGCAGGCATTCCTGGCACTAAAATAACATTCCCTCTGTTCATTAGTTATGTTTCCAGGCTTTATATATGAGTTCCATTCTGATTTTTTATTCACACCAAAAAACTTAAGATTTACTGTTATGCACTATTGTAATAATTGTATAAATAACATCATGGTATTCGTGAATGCATATCAGACCCACAAGTTGACATGTCTTGGACATGTGATGTGATTTATTTACTCTTGAATATCTGCAAAAATCAAACATTTCTGCTACTTTGATTTCAATTTCACAATATTTTCAGCCCTAAAACCAATCAAAATCATCTCTATTTCTATAACATATCTTCCATTCTCTCAAACGAGAGCGAGAAACCAAGAATACAACCATGAAAACCATACGAAAATACATCGCAAAGTCACTGTTTTAAGCCAAAAACACAGTCACAGTTTTTTATCTCATTATGCACTGGGTGCTAAGGGATTTTTTATATGGTGCAAATTTACCGCATAGACCCAGTCTCTCATATCTAGGCCCAAATTTACTGCTCACAGATTATCTGAGTGAGCTGCGCTCATCTCGTAGTACTACGGCACGGACCCTGGTTTCAAACCTGTAGGACAATGGCATGGACCCTCAAGAGGTTAATTTTGTCTCGTATCTCGATTTTCTTCATATCTCCCAGAGTTGAACGCTTAAACTTTTTCTTGCTACTTCCAACATCATTCACATGCCTCTTGGGTGCTATGGTTGGTTAGCAGATGCAAGATATGGTAATGAAAAGATCAAAACCCGATTCAAAAACAGATTTGGAAATTGCATGGGACGCGTATGTAAGGAGTACTGAAACACTAGAGGTGGAATGGGGGTGGCATGGGAGGAAACCAGGCCTCCCCTGCAAAGACAATGGCCTGACCCAAGGCAGGCTGCCTGAGAGGCCACTAGATAGAGGGCAAAAATTCCATGGTCAAGCTCAGAGTGCTTCAAATTTTTTCCCCACCCAGAAGTGGAAGTGTTAATCACATTTTATGAAGTGTTAGTCAAAAATATGCCGCAATTTTGCAATAGTGTAATGGAGAAAACATGTTAGAGGAATCTGCATTAATCAATGGTTTACTATACTGAGAGGCCCCACTGATACAGCAGGTTAGGTTTCGAGCTACTGCTATGAAGCGAAAATTGCTGTAAACTGAATCATAGCTTTTTTTCATTTTCAAAGGAATATAAAAGCCTGATAACATGTTTACATTACCATATAATAAATGAGCAATATAGCCAGACCTAAAAAATGCATATACAGCACACACATTACTTACTTTAAAATATTTTCGTCCTTAGCTTATATCAAGTGATGACTGCATTTTTTATAGGAAGTCTGAATAAATGAAGAATGCATATAACTGAAAACTGTTGTATGGGCAAAATGCTGTAAAATGAAGCACTGTAAAGCAAGGCCCTCCTGTACATACTCCCATCCATGAGCTTCATGAGAAGACCATTATCCAAGTTAGAGAGTCAAGTGGTGTGGCTGTCTACTCCTTGCAAAGAGGGAAGGTGAATGATGATAGTAATCATGTAAGTCACTGTGATGGAGAGCTTGAAATAGTGTACAAAAGTAAAAACCTCATGCAAGAACACTAAAAAAAAGCATAAAATAGATAAAAGCAATAAATTTAGGAGCCAGCAGCCACCATAATTTCCTCCCAAGGCTTTTCCAGCCAATACAGAGCTAATGATCTGATGATGCTTAAAATGACAACCCAGAGATCAAGTTTCTTAACCCGTAAACGGTCCAAGCAGATCTACGTTCATATGCGTAGTGCTCCAAAAGTAGATCTACGTTTTTTTTTACATATTTTCAAATATATGTATAAAAAAAAGTAGATCAAAGATTTTACACGTTTTCAAATGTAAAAAAAAAAAGATCTACTTTCTTTACATACTTTCAAATGTTGAAAAAACATATATATACGTTTGGATCGTTTATGGGTTAAGGATGGCAACAACTAGGGATGAGATAACAATTTTGTTTTGCTGATACTAATACTCAATTTTAGGCTGATACCAACACCACCAAAATTAACTGATGCTGATACTGGCACCAATACCACCAAAATCAGATGATACCTGCTGATACTTTGGCACATCCCTAACAACAATTGTCTTTGTCACTAATGACAAAATTTTATCAGCAAACATCACACCATTGAGTATAACAATAGTATTTTCCAAGACCATCCCCCATGGCACCACAGCAAGTGCAAACTGTCATCTATAATGTCAATTAGTGCTCGGATCTCAACGAGTGCTGGGACCTGGTGTCAGAAGAAGTTACTAAACCCCATCAGCTCTTCAACAATTTAATATTGGCCAAGTGAAAAGGCTTAGTGCTTCTTCCACGATTCATTCACTCCTGCTTGGCACATGATAGAAAGTAAAAATTGCTCAAAACAGATTCCCCCAACAAATCCTTTAAATGTCAATACTAGGATCATATTGCAAAGAGATGCAGCACCCATCACACTGGTGTGAAGTGGAAATATAAACACAGTAAGCCGTATAATGTGATCCTTCATTGACAACATTTCGCCCACACAGTGGGGTTTATCAAGTGACAAACAGATCTACCTGGGTGAAAGGTACAAGAGTATTTATAGGATGGATTCAGGTGGAGAATGCTGGGTCAGGTGGAGAATGCTGCATGTGACAATCTTCCAAGTAGATTGTCACATGCAGCATTCTCCACCTGACCAAGGATTCTCCACCTGACTCCATCTATAAATACTCGCATACCTTTCACCCACGTAGATCTGTTTGTGACTTGATAAAGCTCACTGTGTGGGCGAAATGTTGTCAATAAAAGATCACATTATACGCCTTATGTGTTTATATTTCCACTGTGTCAGTATTTTATACCATTTATTTCCATGGTGTGAAGTGTGTTCTAAGGCTCATCCATCCTGCAGTGTTACTAGCTATTACGTAAACAGCAGGAAGTCTCCATAAAATGTGTCAACTGCAAGCAAGATGGAGTTAAAGTATCATATCCCAACTGCAGTGAATGGCTTAATCACAATTTTACAGGCAACTCTGAGGCCTGTGGCCTACCACCCATCACCCCCACATGCCATTTACCCAGGCTCAAAAATTAGGGGTGATGTGCACTGCCTTGAGTCATATCAACAGAAACTCCATCGAAGTGTTGCCTGCACTTGGGGATGACTATTTATCTCGTCAGCTTAAGCGCTGATACAAGGATAACCATCAACCTTACATAAGCAAAGGAAAGGAAGTGGGAGGCTACCAGTGAATCACCCAGCAATCCTTGTGTTAACACCATCCTACTAACTGATTCAGGGGAGGTTATGGTAGCAGAGCCTGGCATAAGTGCTTTCCCTCCAGCCCGGGGACCTGGCTAGCCCTCATCCATAAAACTGTCTGATCCAGATGATTCAGATCGGGCTATGGAAAATGAGACAGATGCAAGTTCAATCAGGCAAGAATTAGAACACAATGTGAAACTGATGCAGAAGCAATTACTGTAGAGCAAAGTTCAGGCTTCAGCAACACAATGATAACTATGTGGTATCTGCAAGTATTATTGATGATGATAATGAAAATAGTGTTCAGGGTGGTGATGGTAACACTGCTGATGAGTGTAGTAGGGTCAATGATAATGGTAAAATTAATGAAAGCAGTGTAGGTGGGGAGAGGGGATATCAGAGCAGGCTCCTACAAACCTCAAAAATAAAAGTGCACTTAAAAATTACTTAAACCAGGCACAAACAGATACAATGGATAATATTTGTTATTTATTAAGCTTCAGTGTTATACCTAGAATCTTAAGTGCTATTCCAAGACTGTAACAGAGGTAAGCTTACATAAGCTCTCCAGCCTTAGTTGGAATACTGTATTACTTAGAAAATACATCCTGACCTTCCCCATAAAGTAATCCCTGGTTGTCATATGACTCCAAGAGTGCAGAGTCCCGTTAACTTCCCCACCTTCTAAATTACCCTTATTTGTTGCATATTAAGTACTCCCATATCTACTAACTCTTGTATTCTCTATATTAAAAAACTGCTTACTCTTGTTTTGTGTCTTTGATTCACTGCTTATTAGTGAAGTGGGAAGGAGAGGTGGAGAGATAGAGGAAGAGATGGTGAGGTGTGGTTGGGAAGTGTGGGAAGGGGGAGAGGGAGAAGTGTGGGAAGGGAAGAGTGAAAGGTGTGGAAAGGGGAGAATGAAAGGTATAGGAAGGGGAGAATGAAGTCCAGGAAAGAGAAAGAGACGAGGTCAGGAGAGATATGGGAGAAGGTAGGGGGAAGAGCTGAAGGGAAGGGACAAAAAATCTAACTAATAATCCAAACATGTCCCTGTGCAGGATTTTTTCATTAACTAGTGATAAAGGAAATGGTAAGACCTATAATTTACTCTAGTTGCTCAACATGACAATAATAATAATATTTTATTTTTTTTATTAACACATGGCCGTTTCCTACCAAGGCAGGGTGGCCCGTAAAAAAAAAAAAACTTTCATCATCATTTACTCCATCACTGTCTTGCCAGAGGCATACTTACACTACAGTTATAAAACTGCAACATTAACACCCCTCCTTCAGAGTGCCAGCACTGTACTCCCCATCTCCAGGAATCAAGTCCGGCCTGCCAGTTTCCCTGAATCCCTTCATAAATGTTACCTTGCTTCCACTCCAACAGCACGTCAAGTCCTAAAAACCATTTGTCTCCATTTGCTCCTATCTAACATGCTCACCCACGCTTGTTGGAAGTCCAAGCTCCTCGCACACAAAACCTCCTTTACCCCCTCCCTCCAACCTTTCCTAGGCCAACCCCTACCCTGCCATCCCTCCACTATAGATTTATACACTAAGTCATTCTATTTCATTCCATCCTCTCTATACATCCAAACCATCTCAATAACCCGTCCTCAGCCCTCTGGATAATAGTTTTGGTAATCCCACACCTCACTCCTAATCTCCAAACTACGGATTCTGTGCATTATATTCACACACACATTGCCTTCAGGCATGACATCTCCACTGCCTCCAAATGCTTTAATTTCATACAATAATATAATGCTAGAGAAATTTTCTTCACAAAGTGGCAGAGCAATGAAATGAATTAAGAGTATGTACAGTGGACCCCCGCATAACGATTACCTCCGAATGCGACCAATTATGTAAGTGTAATTATGTAAGTGCGTTTGTACGTGTATGTTTGGGGGTCTGAAATGGACTAATTTACTTCACAATATTCCTTATGGGAATAAATTCGGTCAGTACTGGCACCTGAACATACTTCTGGAGTGAAAAAATATCGTTAACTGGGGGTCCACTGTACTTAATGCTACCTGGAGTTTACCTGGAGTTTACCTGGAGAGAGTTCCGGGGGTCAACGCCCCCGCGGCCCGGTCTGTGACCAGGCCTCCTGGTGGATCAGAGCCTGATCAACCAGGTTGCGCTGGCTGCACGCAAACCAACATCAGCCCAAACCGGCTGATCGGACTGACTTTAGGTGCTTGTCCAGTGCCAGCTTGAAGACTGCCAGGGTCTTGTTTTGGTAATCCCCCTTATGTGTGCTGGGAGGCAGTTGAACAGTCTCGGGCCCCTGACACTTATTGTATGGTCTCTTAACGTGCTAGTGACACCCTGCTTTTCATTGGGGGGTTGGTGCATCGTCTGCCAAGTCTTTTGCTTTCGTAGTGGGTGATTTTGTGTGCAAGTTCGGTACTAGTCCCTCTAGGATTTTCCAGGTGTATATAATCATGTATCTCTCCTCCTGCGTTCCAGGGAATACAGGTTTAGGAACCTCAAGCGCTCCAATAATTGAGGTGTTTTATCTCCGTTATGCGCGCCGTGAAAGTTCTCTGTACATTTTCTAGGTCGGCATTTCACTGCGCTTGAAAGGTGCTGTTAGTGTGCAGCAATATTCCAGCCTAGATAGAACAAGTGACCTGAACAGTGTCATCATGGGCTTGGCCTCCCTAGTTTTGAAGGTTCTCATTATCCATCCTGTCATTTTTCTAGCAGATGGATTGATACAATGTTATGGTCCTTGAAGGTGAGATCCTCCGACATGATCACTCCCAGGTCTTTGACGTTGGTGTTTCGCTCTATTTTGTGGCCAGAATTTGTTTTGTACTTGATGAAGATTTTATTTCCTCATGTTTACCATATCTGAGTAATTGAAATTTCTCATCGTTGAAACTTCATATTGTTTTCTGCAGCCCACTGAAAGATTTGGTTGATGTCTGCCTGGAGCTTTGCAGTGTCTGCAATGGAAGACCACTGTCATGCAGATTCGGGTGTCATCTGCAAAGGAAGACACGGTGCTGTGGCTGACATCCTTGTCTATGTCGGATATAAGGATGAGGAACAAGATGGGAGCGAGTACTGTGCCTTGTGGAACAGAGCTTTTCACCGTAGCTGCCTCGGACTTTACTCTGTTGACGACTACTCTCTGTGTTCTGTTAGTGAGGAAATTATAGATCCATCGACCGACTTTTCCTGTTATTCCTTTAGCACGCATTTTGTGCGCTATTACGCCATGGTCACACTTGTCGAAGGCTTTTGCAAAGTCTGTATATATTACATCTGCATTCATTGGAAATTTAAAAAAAAATTGTATGATGAATAATTCATTGAAGATCAGGTACATAGTAGGTTCGTAGACAGCAACCACCCAGGGAGGTACTACCGTCCTACCAAGTGAGTGAAAAACGAAAGCCTGTAATTGTTTTACATGATAGGATTGCTGGTGTCTTTTTTGTCTCACAAATATGCAAGATTTCAGGTATGTCTTGCTACTTCTACTTGCACTTAGGTCACACTACATAGACAAGCATATATATACACAACCCAGGGTTTTCTTTTTCTTATTGGTTCTTCTTGTTTATTTCCTCTCATCTCCATGGGGAAGTGGGATGGAATTTTTCCTCCGTAAGCCATTCATGTCATAAGAGGTGACTAAAATGCCAGGAGCAAGGGGCTAGTAACCCCTTCTCCTGTGTACGTTACTAAATTTATAAAGAGAAAACTTTCTTTTTTCTTTTTGGGCCACCCTGCCTGGGTTTGGGATACTGCCACTTGAAAGGTTTAAATTTTAAAACTCAAATGCTCCCCCCCCATCTCCACAAATTTAAACTTTACTGTATAGAAAAAACCCACCCCAACCACAAACCAGCATTTGAATTTTTCAAATTTGAAAGGATAATTAATTTGCATGTGAAAACCTATTTTTAGCTACAAAAGCAGAGTTCCTCTAGGTTCAGTCTTCAATCATGTCATGATTCATGTGTCCCCTGGGAAAAACTTTAAGTAATACATTAAAAACATCAATAAATCAGAACCTAGTTGCATCCCTTCAGAAAATTTTATTACTTGTGGTCCTGTCTCCTCAAGCTTCGCGGTGATCTGTCCCTTAGTCCCCAACAAATGGTGTTTACTCTTGATCATCTGCAAGGCTGTGCACCACCCAAGCATGGGGGGCCTCCCCAACCTGGCGACCATTCCGTAAATGGTACACAAAGAACTTGTCTCGGCTGCAAAAAGCCCATTTCGGAGCGGACAAAGATAACATCGTAACTCTACTCTGATGCCCAAATATCCCAAAACCTGGTTGATGCTGTTGAGTTTTGAGAAAAGGAAATTCCGGGGAGGAGAAAAACAATATTTTAAATCAGCATTACCTTATTTCAATCCATCCTCCAAGGACAATTGCATTTTTATTATTAAGTTATTTAGTTTTTCGTTCCTCAAAACAACTTTTCAGAAAAGGTTTTTGCCTTATTGGGGCATTTAGCAAGGAACCCTTTTAAAATAAAACACCACTTAAATTTTACCAACACCCAAATCTCGAAACCCATAAAAAAATTACTGTAAAAAACCACGGGGGATTGTACGTGCCGGACTATGGGGAGGGGGAATTAATCAGGTTTGATAAGGAAAGGGGGAAGGGTACCTCCAACTCTTGCATCAGCTTTAAGGACCTCCAAAAAGGGAACTACCCATACAACTCCCACAAAATTATTACTAAACTGTACCTTTACAAGACCAAGAATAGGGCTTAGTGTCAGGTTTGTAGTGAAGACAGTGGGTATATATGTAAGGAAGTGACACACATAGGGCCCGTACTGCCCAGAGTCACGCCGTTGCCAGATACGAACAGCCTGATGGTAAAAAAACAACGTAAGTAGTGAAATGACAAAAAATATCTTTGGGGGATAACAAATAACAATTACTTACTGCAGCAATATACAAAAGGGCCCCACTTTAAGCAGGTATGACTGCTATTACACTATTCATTCTCTTTAACCTGAAGTAGTTTTATTTGGTCAGTTACATAAATTACATACATAGCGCACATTACAAATTACCCACCCGAATAACCCATTGGGGGGCCTTTTTAAATTTCCACTGGGGCCAAAAGAAATAAAAATGTTATTTAAAATTTACATTTTCTCAATAAATATAACGATTTGATTAAAATATAGATAAAAAACAAAAATAAATAATACTATAAGGGAAAATCAAATCAGTCCCGTAAAACCCAAACTTCATTAAGGGTACATTTACAGTGCTTTAATTTCTCAAATTTCACTAATCAAGGGAATTTTTGATACGCTGATATAAAATTGTAAATTTAAGCAAGGATAATCAATACGGAAAATGTTATTATTAAATGGGGAAGGGGAGGGAGGATATTTTATCCTGACAGAGTAACTGCGCCCACCTTAAGCAGCACGCAGCATTTACATCATCTCATACCTTCTATCTTGGCCCGCACTGGCCTGTCATGCTGAGGGTTTAGTGGGGTGGGAAATGCGAAATTTGGTTTAATTTCTGCAGCCATTTCTCTTCTTCTTTGCTGGATCATATGATTTGGATATCAACAAAGAGCATGAAGGAACCTCTTAGTGGAGGGCCACAATCAATCAAAAATAATATTTAAACCAAAAAAAAACCCACTTAAAATCATCGTAACATTTATAAAAAAATCTATTTTTTTAAATTAATAGACAATTAATAGGAAAGACGTTAGTGAAGAAAAACTAGGGATAATAGAGTGTCCGTTTTTTTGTTCTCATTTGTGTTGTCTGGACAAAGACGCATCGTTGGTTAAAATTTCCTGGTTACTATGTAAGATGTATAATATTATTAGTGCTGGTGAAGGGCTCTTGATCCACGTAATTGGAGCTACCCTCCCCTTCCTTGGACGAAACCTGATTACCTCCCTTTTCCCAGGCATTGCATGCGATTTATCGCTTCCCCATGAACTTCCAAATTTCCAAGACCGTAGGCATACTATCGAAGATACGGTACTATATTCCACAGTCAGCTCTACTGACCCTATATCACTCACTTATTTACCCCTATCTCACCTATGGAATTTGTGCATGGGGCTCAACAACAATAAACCATCTCAGACCATTAATTACCCAACAAAAGGCTGCAGTCAGAATAATAAATTCCCACTCCAGGCAGCACACTCCACCAATATTCAAAACTCTAAACCTACTCGCCGTACAAAGCATCCATACTTATTATTGTACCTACTACATACATAGAACACTTAACTCCGATATAAACCCTCCCCTCAAACGTCTCCTTACCAACCTCAACAGAACACATGACCATAACACAAGGCACAGATCACTCTTTGATGTTCCTCGTGTCCATCTCACACTATGCAAAAAATCAATGCACATAAAAGGCCCAAAAATCTGGAATTCATTACCTGGAGTTTACCTGGAGAGAGTTCCGGGGGTCAACGCCCCCGCGGCCCGGTCTGTGACTAGGCCTCCTGGTGGATCAGAGCCTGATCAACCAGGCTGTTACTGCTGGCTGCACGCAATCCAACGTACGAGCCACAGCCCGGCTGGTCAGGTACCGACTTTAGATGTTTGTCCAGTGCCTGCTTGAAGACAGCCAGGGGTCTACTGGTAATCCCCCTTATGTATGCTGGGAGGCAGTTGAACAGTCTTGGGCCCCTGACACTTATTGTGTTGTCTCTTAACGTGCTAGTGACACCCCTGCTTTTCATTGGGGGGATGTTGCATCGTCTGCCGAGTCTTTTGCTTTCGTAGTGAGTGATTTTCGTGTGCAAGTTTGGTTATGTCCCTCTAGGACTTTCCAGGTGTATATAATCTTGTATCTCCCCCGCCTGCGTTCCAGGGAGTACAGGTTGAGGAACTTCAAGCGCTCCCAGTAATTGAGGTGCTTTATCTCTGTTATGCGTGCCGTGAAGGTTCTCTGTACATTTTCTAGGTCGGCAATTTCACCTGCCTTGAAAGGTGCTGTTAGTGTGCAGCAATATTCCAGCCTAGATAGAACAAGAGACCTGAAGACTGTCATCATGGGCTTGGCATCCCTAGTTTTGAAGGTTCTCATTATCCATCCTGTCATTTTTCTAGCAGATGCGATTGATACAATGTTATGGTCCTTGAAGGTGAGATCCTCCGACATGATCACTTCCAGGTCTTTGACGTTGGTGTTTCGCTCTATTTTGTGGTCAGAATTTGTTTTGTACTCTGATGAAGATTTAATTTCCTCGTGTTTACCATATCTGAGTAATTTAAATTTCTCATCGTTGAACTTCATATTGTTTTCTGCAGCCCACTGAAAGATTTGGTTGATGTCCGCCTGGAGCAGTGCAGTGTCTGCAATGGAAGACACTGTCATGCAGATTCGGGTGTCATCTGCAAAGGAAGACACGGTGCTGTGGCTGACATCCTTGTCTATGTCAGATATGAGGATGAGAAATAAGATGGGAGCGAGTACTGTGCCTTGTGGAACAGAGCTTTTCACCGTAGCTGCCCCCGGACTTTACTCTGTTGACTACTACTCTTTGTGTTCTGTTTGTGAGGAAATTATAGATCCATCTACCAACTTTTTCTGTTATTCCTTTAGCACGCATTTTGTGCGCTATTACGCCATGGTCACACTTGTCGAAGGCTTTTGCAAAGTCTATATATATATTACATCTGCATTCTTTTTGTCTTCTAGTGCATCTAGGACCTTGTCGTAGTGATTCAATAGCTAAGACAGACAAGAGCGACCTGTTCTAAACCCATGTTGCCCTGGGTTTTGTAATTGATGGGTTTCTAGATGGGTGGTGATCTTGCTTCTTAGGACCCTTTCAAAGATTTTTATGATATGGGATGTTAGTGCTATCGGTCTGTAGTTCTTTGCTATTGCTTTACTGCCCCCTTTGTGGAGTGGGGCTATGTCTGTTGTTTTTAATAACTGTGGGACGACCCCCGTGTCCATGCTTCCTCTACATAGGATGGTAAAAGCTCGTGATAGCCCCTATCAGTTCTTGATGAACACGGAGTTCCATGAGTCTGGCCCTGGGGCAGAGTGCATGGGCATGCCATTTATCGCCTGTTCGAAGTCATTTGGCGTCAGGATAACATCAGATAGGCTGGTGTTAACCAAATTCTGTGGCTCTCATAAAAAATTCATTTCGATCTTCGACTCTCAATCTGGTCAGCGGCTTGCTAAAAACTGAGTCATATTGGGACTTGAGTAGCTCACTCATTTCCTTGCTGTCATCTGTGTAGGACCCATCTTGTTTAAGTAGGGGCCCAATACTGGACGTTGTTCTCGACTTTGATTTGGCATACTTACTACTGCACCTACTACATTCATAGAACACTTAACTCTGATATAAACCCTCCCCTCAAACGTCTCCTTACCAACCTCAACAGAACACATGACCATAACACAAGCACAGATCACTCTTTGATGTTCCTCGAGTCCATCTCACGCTATGCAAAAACTCAATGCATATAAAAGGCCCTAAAATCTGGAATTCATTACCTGTGAATATAAAAGAAACACTGTCTGTTTATAAATTCAAGTCTCTTCTCAAAAATCACTTACTCACCCACAACTAAATAAATACTGAATAATTGTATCTCATAAATTGTATCTCATAAATTGTATCTCGTAAATGTTTCTCATTATTGTATCTCATAAATGTCTAACCTGTGACCCAATCAAACTTTATTTTTTAATTACATTACCTAACAGAATACTCCAATCTACTGAATGCTCAGCAACACAGTTAATGACCATATGACCTGTCTTTGTAATTCTCATTTGTGCTAAATTTTTATCTGTTTACAATATTGTTTTTACCACTAAATATATCATTGCTTAGTTAATCTTAAGTTAATTTTAAGCCTGCCAATAATGCTCTGTATACAAGGGGCTTTGGCATGTTGCACTGTAATAACTGTATTCCTTTGTACTTCACTGTATCATGTTCAAATTAATAAATAAATAAATAAATAAATAAATAAATAAATAAATAAATAGTGTCACAAACACATCTTGATAAAGTCACAGTGTCACAAACACATCTTGATAAAGCCACAGTGTCATAAACACATCTTGATAAAGTCATAGTGTCACAAACACATCTTGATAAAGTCACAGTGTCACAAACACATCTTGATAAAGCCACAGTGTCATAAACACATCTTGATAAAGTCATAGTGTCACAAACACATCTTGATAAAGCCAGTGTCACAAACACATCTTGATAAAGCCACAGTGTCACAAACACATCTTGATAAAGCCACAGTGTCACAAACACATCTTGATAAAGCCACAGTGTCACAAACACATCTTGATAAAGCCACTGCGTCACAAACACATCTTGATAAAGGCACTGAGTCACAAACACATCTTGATAAAGCCAGTGTGTGTGCTAAACATAGTCAATAAAGGTTCACATCACATCACATGGATGATCATGAGGGAGGCAAGGTAGACACTGCTGATGGTTGTTAATATGACTTGTTCCAAAATGTTTATACAAGCACCCAAGCCACATACATTCTTAATAGAGATATTAGATCAAATATAAGTGACGCTAAATGAATGGAACAAGACTATAACGTTTCTTAATGAGAAAAAGAGGCATTTACAGGTCAGTATATTCAGTTTAAGACGAAGGAATCAAGGAACAGCTAAGAGTTTCTGACAGGTATGCAGACATAAGATTAAGAGAAAGCGCTGACACCCAGTAAATACGAAGTGCTTTTTAAATCATAAAAATCAAGTAAATTAAACTCACAAATGTTAGCCTAAATGATGAAATTAATGTCAGGCTTTAGGTTGGTGAGATTTTAAAATGGAAAACATTGTCAGCAAGTTTAGA